TAGGGGTTTAGGGGTTCAGGGGTCAGGGTTTAGGGTTTAGGGTTTAGGGTTTAGGGTTTAGGGGTTTAGGGTTTAGGGTTTAGGGTTTTTTTGAGGGTTTAGGGTTTAGGGTTTAGGGTTTTTTCAGCACAGTCTAGCAGAGTCTAGCATCGTTCTTGATGAAGTCACCGCCCTGTGGCCGGCTTGGTACCCGACGCCCGGCACGAGTGCCAAAACGCCGGAAGTTCCGAGGAACTAAGCGCGCCCGAGCAGCGCGGCCCTAACACAAGCCATGTGATGCAGGACAGTCCAGCACCAGCGTCCTCGCGCAGCATCGAAAGAAGGCCACCCCAGCCTCTCGGTCAGAGGATCCATGTGCACAGCTGGCCTGGTGCCAGCGAAGTGGGGGCATTCCCAGCACAGATGCCGCCATGAGCCAATCGAGCCGGAAAGGCAAAAACTGCAAGCAGAAAAGTCCTCGTCAGCAGCTGCGTCACGTGCCTGGTGAAAAGCTAAGCTGCAAGCAGCTCCAACGAGAACAGCCCTCTCGTGGGCCGAGCACGACTGGAAGTGCTTAGACACCGCCTTGACCCTGGCCTCGGAGTAGACAGCCCCAGACGTGCGAAGCTCGCGGCTGTCTCGCCTGTTGGCGCCCAGAAAAGACTGAAAGCGCGCCCGCCTCCACGACTCACGCACAGAGTGCAAGCCTCTCTGCCGATCGAGGGCCTGCTGCGCAGCAAAGGAGATGTCCCCGATCGCAGGATGGGACCACGCCCACGGACCAACCTCAGTCCAGCCCAGCTGCGCCAAGTGCTCTCGGACGCGGCCTTGCCAGGTGCCGCGAAGAGGTCGAAGGGTCCATAACTGCCTGTAGCCATTCTGCCAGCATCGCCAAAGATGAGACAAAGCGGCCTGCCCTGCAGTGTAGCAAGGGTCAGTGTAATGTCCATCCAGCAGGCGAATCAAGTCAGCAGAGCCAACGGAGTGCCCTTTCACCGCGGCCTTGTAGAGACGCCAGTAGGTGGAGGTCGAGCTGCCCACAGAGCGCGAAACCCCAGCCAACCCCAAGTGCCAGCTGCCGGTAAAGCCGTCGACGGACCTCCACAGGAGTCGGAAGCCACTGCACGCGCAGAGCCCGAGCGATGGCATCGTCGCATCGCGCCTTGGCTGTCGGCCTATCGGCTTGCCCACGGCGCTGACCGAGGTCAGTCCCAAGAAGCCTGACCGAGGTCACGATCCGATCAGGAACCCTCCGCTCAAACACAGTCCTCTGTTCCTGAGTGCGAGGTAGCACAGCCAGCTTCCGCCGGTTCTCCTGCAAGCCTAAACGACGCGTCCAGTCAGTCACCAGCTCAACGGTGTCCAGCAGTGTGTTCGCGCACCGAGCTGCCAAGTTGCGGTCGTCGGCGTAAAAGGAAAGCCTCACGCGTGGGACGGTCTGGCTAACGTTGCGTGCCACAGCAGCCAAGTAGACCATCATGCCCATCGGACTGAAGGGGTCGCCCTGCGGCAGGGACGAACCGGCCCAGTGAGCTTCTTTGGAGACGGCGTGTCGCCAAGAAAGCCACCGACTCTGTTGCACCCACACGGCGCGAAGCCATTGGCAAACGCCCGGATGAAAACCGAGGAACTCAAGCATCAAGCAAAGTTCGCTGGGGTCCACCCAGTCGAACGCCTTGGCCAAATCCAGCGAAGCGACGCAATGCTGACCAGCAATCGTATCCTCTTCCACGGCGCAAAGGGCAGAGAACACGTCGCGGCCTGAGACCCCCCCATGGAACGAATCGGGAACCCAGCGACTGACCCAAGCACGGGTCTGCGGCCTGTGCATGATGGCTCTGCCCACCGTTCTCCACACCGCGCATTGCACCGTGATCGGTCTGAGTTTCTCGACGTCGCAAGTAGCACCAGGCTCTTTGGGCAAGTGAACTTGGAGCGCTTCTTGCCACACACTAGGAACGCAGCCTGCACGCAGGGCCTCGTTGAGCAACGACGCCAGGTCGGCGAAAGCAGCCTCAGGGGCGTCACAAAGCTCTTCGGGTCGCCAGCCAGAGGGCCCAGGAGCGGTACCGGAGGCACTCCTAGCAGAGGCAGCAAGCTCGGCAGCCGTGAAGTGGCACCATTCCAAAGGGGCGCAGGGGCCGCACGCCACGCGCTACGCCACTCAGAAAACACTTGACCCTCGGCAGGCCTGGCCCGGAGCCAAACGTGACTCCAAAAGTCGACAAGGAGGTCCACAGCACCCTGGTCGGTAGAGGCAACGGTAGGCCCATCCTTGACGGTTTGCCCAGCAGGTTTGGCAGTCCGTTTAACCCACTCACGACAAGCCCTGGCAGAGCCTTGCAGACGACGCCGCCAGTTTTGAAGACGTTTCTGCTCCTCCTCGTGCAAGGCAGTTTGCAAGGCACTCTCCGCGTTCAGCAACTGCAACTGCTCGTCAGCGACCCACGGAAGGAAGGCCGGCCAAGAAGCAACGATCCGACGACGGAGGGCGGCAGGACAAAGGGCACCACGCCGGCGACGCTCACGAAGACGCCCAACAAGCTTGCCAAGTCCACGCCTCATCCACGGATTCCTGAGACCTGAGCTCCTCAAAGAGGCAAGCAGGCCCGTAAGCATCCTGAACAGCACGACGCCACGCCCCTTTGGGAACGTCAACCGGACAACGAAACACACGGCAAGGCCTGAGCACCGACCGGGGCGCCGAAGTCCTGAGCTGCACGGGCAACCTGAAAAGAGCGGCCCGGTGATCCGACAGAGCAAAGTCATCCACGCGAGAGTGCACAGACACCGGGCACGGCGACGGTGACACAGAGGAACCTTGAGGGGCGACCACTTGCAGAAAGTCGATGCAACGTTCGGACTGCCAGCGCGTGGGGATGTATCCACCACTCTCAGAAGCAGCAAAGGCAGTAGCACTGCTATCGATCACGAGAGGGCCCTCGGAGGGAAGATGATTGAAATCACCCAAAGCAAGCACCGCGTAGCCGGCACTGGCCGCTTCCAGCACGTGTTGTGTGAGCAAGCCAACTGACACCAAGGCAGGCCTTTGCCAGAGTCCGCAGACCCGCCACTGCCCACACTGAAGAACCAAAGCCTCGCCAGCAGCCTCGGACACAGAGTTCACCAGGAAAGCGGGCAGCCCGTCTTTGACAGCCACCGCAAGACCGCCATTTATGGTGCCTCGGCCGAGAGAATCTCGCCCGGTCTGAGCAGGAACACTCCAAACCCGATAACCCCGTCGCTTGGCCTCAGCTGAAAAGGTGGCCAGCCGATGTCCCTCCAGGTGTGTCTCCTGGAAAACCATGATGTCCGTGCGCATCTCCGTGTAGACCCGCAAGGCCTCGAAGGAAGAGCCAGCGCCGTTAACATTCATAGTGCACAGCTTGAGGCCTGATGAAACAGACGACGGCCCAGGATTAGGCTCGCTGCCCTCCTCACACACATCACGCTGCCATCCGCCGGCACAGTACAGACTTGCAGCACGCGGGACTGGGCCTAAACCCCAAGGAAGGAGAGGGAAGAGGCAAACCCCTAGGGAAACCCGGAACCAAACCCCAAAGGCTAACCCCGAGGAGCCACACGGTCCAGGATTCGGCTCGATGTTCTCAGCGGTGAGGTCCCGTTTCCACTTGCCTGGGCCACGGTTCGCAGCCTTGCACAGCTTGGCAGCAGAGACGGTCAGTTTCCTGCGAGCATTGCTGTCGAGTCCCCAAGCTTGGCTTAGAGCAGCCCGCCGAGTCTTGGAGCAGAACTTCCACATGCGAAGTCGTGACTTGAGCCGGCATAAGGCCTGCCTCGCACTGTTACCCAAGCAAGCCTGGCCAGCCTCAGCCTGACGCCTCAGCCCACTCAAACCCTGAAATAAACCTGTGCACTTGCGACAAGTCCAGAAGGAGTGCCCTTTGGAGCCTGGATCAGTGCCGATGAAAACAGGATCATGTCCTAAGTGCCGCAGCTGCCGTAGAGAGACCTCGGCTTTGGAGCAATGAACCGCACTCTTGGAGCATCCGGCAGCACTGCGTTTGGCCTTCACAAGGGCACCTTTGGCATTCGGCCATGCTTGGTTCGCCTCCCACAGAGACCTGCCAGGGTGCACAGCAGCGAGGTGCCGACCAATGCTCCGGGTTCTGTCATTCGTAGAGAGACGAGGCAGTACCTGAAAACACAGACCGCACTGCCAACCTCCAGGCGGCAAATCTCCAGTGACAGTTTCAGTCCAAGGGGCCTCGCGCCGACGAGAGCGAGTTGGCAGATCTTTGTGATGTCTGGCCAAATGCTTGTACTTCAAACACGTCACGCTACGGCTAGAAGACCCCCTAGCGATGAACCCACAATGCTCACAGGGCCACGTGAAATCAGGTGGTGGAGTGGCTGATGCACTACTCTGGTGGTCGGTGCCCAGCCCTGAGACCTTAGCACAGCCGGCGGCCGAAGCTTTCGCAGAGGCAGTGGCAGGGCCCTTGCACTGAGTGACAGAAGCAGCTGAGGAAGCGAAAGGCGTCGGTGCCCAAACTTCTTCCTCCCTCAAGGTCTGAGTCGGGGAGCGCCGTCTTTTCCCCGGTGGGAGCCCGGACCCAGCGGCCCGCCCTTCACCACAAGGACGCTTCCTCGCCGAAGTGACGCTCCCCCCGGCGATTTTCATTCCCTCACCGTCCTTGGCAGATCTCCTCGAGGCCGATTCCGAAGCGAGCCAAGCACCACCTCGGCCAGGACCCGAAGCCACACACGTAGTCGAAGAGGCCCTTGAAGACGTGTTGGAAGGGAGCCATCCGCCTCCGCGATGGATCCCTCCTCCAGCAAACTTTTCCCCTTGCTTCCATTGCTTGGGGATAGCACAAGTCGTTGGGTCAAGAAGCCGGTAATGACCTAAGCATAAGCACATCCCAAAGCAGGTGGCCCCGTCGCCGAAGACCGCTGGTCCGGCCCACCGGTGTTCGGCCGGGACCCAATGGTGCAGCACGATGGTGGCCTTTAACCGCCGAGCTGCGATGGCCAGCGTGTCCCCGCAAAGCCAACGACCGTCCCTCTTGAGGCTGGAACACCATTCCTCCCAGTTGCCGGGGATAGCGCCGCCCTCCGTGGCCTCCGTCCACGTGGGGTCGACCCGAAAGGTCGCTCGGCCAATCTGTTTGGCCTGAACCGCTTGCGCCACCTCGAAGCGCAAGGTCCGTCCGCAGGCCACACATTCATCACGAACTTTTGCATGGGTGTCTCCTCTGCAAAGTCCACTGCCGGCCGCTGCACAGTTGTAGCCGCATCGGCCTTCACCGCCGTAATCCAGAAGAGTGTACTCGCTCCATGCATCCCAGGGATCCTGCAACTTCTTCTTCTTCAGCGTGTTTGGCTTTCCCTTCTCCCCGTCCGTAGTTTTCCCCGGTGCTGGCGCCACTCTGACTCTTTTGCCAGTGAGCTTGCCCTCCGCATCCATGTTGGCGTCTTCGGCCGAAGCTTGTGCGTTGCCTTGCTCCGCCCCATCCAACTCCATCTCCTCTCCCTCAACGGCGTCCACAAACTCATCCGAGACTTGGGGACCAAAACTTTGAAGCGGCCGCGTGGGGGACGCCGGTTTCCATCTCGACGAAGATTCCTTGTAAGGCGTTCGGCTCCCTGTACGTTTGGTCAAAGCCACAAGGAGGTCATCTTCGCCCTCGACGAATTGTGTCACGTCACCGTTCGGGGCCAAAGCTTTGACAACCCAGCCCAATCGGCGGCGCGGCTCCAACAAAACTTGCACTTGTTGCCATCCAGCACTAGACAAGAAGTCGACAAGATCATCGCTCCTCCAGCCCTTAGGCACATTCGAACAAACATAAGTAGCGACGGCCGCCGGCAAGTCAGAAGAGAGCAGGTACCGCAAACCCAAGCACGAACCCCCGCCCTTCCTCCATGCCATTGGCTTCTTCTTTGTCTCGGCCATGGCGGCAATGCGAGCAAAATAGCTCTCAGAACTTTCCTTCTCCGCAGGGTCCTCCCAGTGAACCGGGATCTTCTCCTTCACATTGCAGGCCAAAGTTTCCAAGAAGACACCTTCCTTGCCCGACTTCCCAAGGACAGCGTCCAAAGAGTCCAGGAGGATCCTCGCATAGCCCTGAAAGAAAACATCTTTGTGTCCACCTCGGCTCTCCACTGTCCTCTCCTCCCATCCGAAGCAGCTGTGAAGCGCTTTGCCGAGGACCTTGTCGATGTAGCCACGCGGCTCCTTTTTGAGGTTGAGCCAGGCTCCCCAAGACACAGCGGCCCGAGGGATCACCACACGAAGTGTGGCCAGCTTGCTCGAAGCAGGCGTAGTGGTCGCCTTGCTGCCCTTCACTCCGAGCTCCTCCGGGAATTCCTTACCGACAAAGGTCTTAAAGAAGGAACCCACAGCCACGTTGCCGCCGGTGTCCCGTGCCAGCAGCCGAACAGGTACTCCATAAGCGTCTTTGGGCTCCTTGGGTGTAGGCTCAGAGTCCGCCCGGACACGGAAGACGATGCCCACGGTCGGGAGCTCACGCAGCAAAGCCAAGTCTCCAACAGCCCTGGCATCTGTGCTGGTTTTGACAGATACCCAGACGGGCCCTTTGTCACCGGCAGCGACCCGGGCCTTGAAACCGCCAAGGCCGACCACCGGAACCTTCTTGAAGTTGCTCGGCAGGATCTCCAGCGCGTCCTTGTGCTCGGTGGGTGGTTTGCCTTTCCCATCGGCTTTGCCACCCTTGGGCGCCTGGCCTTTGCCTTTCAGACCGTTCTTGGGTTGTGGTCCTGGCCCTGGCCCTTTGCCTTTGCCCTTGTGATAGTCATTCTCCTTGCCCTTGCCCTTGCTGCGGGGACCTTTGGCGACGAGAGCGGCCCAAGAAGAGAAAGAGGAGGAGGAAGGGGGAGTAACAGCAACACTGCGGTCACCTCCTTTGCCCTTGCCCATGTTGCCGCGACCTTTCCGTTGAACAGTTTCCCAGCCATCGTCTTCCGGTGGGGCGGCATTCCACTGTGGGTCCTCGTTCTTCTTCTTCTTCTTTGGTTTCTTGGCTCGAAGTTGTCCTTGCCGAGCGACTTGCACAAGCTGACTAAGTCGATCAAGCAATCCCTTGGGCTGCTTCCTGGCCCTGTCCACAATACTACTACTTCTTCTGCTGCTACTACTACTACTACTACTACCACTACTACTACTACTACTACTACTACTACTACTACTACTACTACTAACTGCTACCTGTACCACCACCACCACCACCCCCACCACCACCCCGGCCACCACCACCGCTTCTAACACGACTGCCCCTGCTACCTATTCCCTTCGCACAAGCTTGGCTCTCATGATTAGGCTTAGTTGGTCCTAAACCTTAAACCCCGAACGAAAGCCACGGCCAAGTGGCTTGATCAGAGTGGCTTCATCCAGCGACCTGACTAAGGAAATTCTCTTACAATAACCAAGTGCCACAACGGGTCACTGTTCTTTCTACATAGCCTCTAGATACTGGGTCTACACAACAAAGAACCAAACCAAAACTGTTCCAAGCTCCCCTACTGGCTCTGCAAGGGAGACCCAAACCGTCGTCCGGCGGGTCCGGGATCTCGGACTTTACAAACTCTCCTATCCTGCGGGATTTTCGGTCTTGCTGCTTGGACTACAAATTCAAGCACTTCAGGTGCTCTCCGTGGGTGAGGATAATAAGAAGTCTCGGCGATTTTCTGTGGCAAGAGAAACGAAAAGACCTCTCGCGGTAGGATGGGCAGGTAAGGAGCGGGACTTCCAGGCTTTCCCAGGGTGGGCTCTTGCAGAGACTCCAGGGGAGAGCAAACCTTTCGTTGACTCGGCCTCGCTGGCGCTCACGGAGTCCTGTTCAGTTCCTCCTACATCCGAAGGTCCGGGCGACCAAGAGCGTTCATACAAGAGGACATGACATGACTTTGATCCCTGAACTTGCGGGTGTTGGGCTCGGGGAGGGTTGTTGTGTCTACTCCATCAGGAAGAATTGAAAAAACTGCTTATGGACATCGGCCGCGAGACAGGTCGGCGTAGCGGCTGGACTGGTCCAATGCCTTGCGCGTCACGCGGCTGTCCTGCCAGGTCGATCATTGTATTCAGTGATGATCGTCGTCGCAGCGGGAGATCATGATGTGGGTCGCTTGGGGTCGCTGATGTGCTGTATAGTGATCTGAAAGTTGGCATGGTGGCTCCAGACGCCCTTGGGGAGATGGTGGAGACGCTCATGCCGAATCACCTCTAATGATTGTAGTGCGACTAGCTTGAGCTCTGAAGCCCTGAAGCCCTCAAATGAACTTCTTGATAAGGATTGTTGAAAAGACCTTAGCAATACTTTGAAGTAACTGTTCGCTGTACACATACACACTTCGAAACTCCTCCACACCCCACATCACCCAATACATTTCAGGCCCCCGGAGCCTTCACC